GACAGCGCACATGCATGCACACACCTGCACACATGCATGGACAGCGCACATGCATGCACACACCTGCACACATGCATGGACAGCGCACATGCATGGACAGACCTGCACACGCGCATGGACAATACACATGCATGTACACACGTGCACACGCATGGACAGCACACATGCACGTACACACATGCACACACACGGACAGCACACATGCATGTGCACACACACGCACACCCCCTCCCCATATCCCGCAGTTCTCTCCTGTAGCCTGCTATCAAGGGGGTTGATGAATGGTGGGGCAGGAGGGAAGGAAGGAAGGGAGGAAACGGGGCTAGGCCTGTGTATTCTGGCTTATGGACGGGGGTGAATCACACAGCTGCTTATTTGGTGCATGAGAACCAGTCGTCTGTGATGGTGAGTCTTTGACATAGTTAACCATATAGTGTCCTCAATTTTTTTTATGTTGGATGTTAAGAAGTTTTTAAATTAACTTTTTATTTTTAGTTCATTGTAGATGGATATGTAGTTACAAGAAAGTTACATAGGAAGATACCATGTACCTTTCTCCTAGTTTCCCCCAGTAAAAACATATTATATAACTATGATACATCAGTTGTGATGAGTTCATCCCCATCAGCCATACTCAGCTTGCCCTAATTTTACATGTGTCTGTGTTTACATTTGGCTCTGTGTGATTTTATCACATGTATAGATTTCTCTGAGCTCCACCACAGTCAACACACAGGCAGTTCCGTCACAAGGATCCGGCTCACCCTTTTGCAGCCGCAGTTACCTCTTACCTTCTCCCTCTCTAACCTGTGGCATCCACTGATCTGTTCATCATCTCGGTAATTTTGTCATTTCAGGAATGTTCTATAGCAGGACACAACTATAAAAGGGACTCTACCTAACAAATGCAAACATTGTAACCTGGTTGTCTGTACCCTCACGTTAACCTGAAACCAAAAATGTTAAAACTATATTTGTCACCCAATTAAATCCCATTATAATCTATATCGTATTGAGATGAAAAATTTCTAGTGTTGAAAAGGAATTGCTTATAAAGTAAAATATCATTCATTGAGATTTTATTTTCTTTATTATATAATAAGAATTGGCTATGTTTTATTATTTATATATATATGTTTTATCATTTCTGGAGGAAGAAGATTTACAGTGAAATTATGAGATTTATGATTGAAGTGTAAAGGTTAAAACCATTTCAGAAAATAAATTTTGCAGGATCCTTCAGAACTATCCATTTAGGTAGAACCATTGTTAAAGCAACTTTGTGTTAATACTTAAGATATTTTTTCTATTGAAAAAGTAATGTAGGCACTAAAGAGGGGCTTAAAAAATTCAAATAATACAAGGAGATACACAATGAAACATTCCTCCTTTGTGTTCTGCTTCTAGGCCCCTTCCCAAGAAGCAATCGCTGTTAAGAAGCTGTCTGTACCGGTGCAGGCTCATGTCCATGTGTCAGTGCCCTTTTTCATTGTCTAACCAGAGATGTGAGCGTTCCGTACACACTGCTCAACACACATTTATCACTGGAAAGTATACTTGGACACTCTTTACATATTATTATGTGTGTGTGTGATTTTTACATATACACATATATATTTTTACACAGAGGCACACAATTAGCTTTGTACTTTTTAAAGACTGCATAGTATATCATTGTGTAGAAATAAAGAGATGAGCCCTTCCCTTACTAATGTTAAATTAAATTCAGTGTAAAGCTGCCTCCTTTGAGTTTGGCTTAAAGGTTTCTCCGTGCAGAGTGAACTGTACCCTAACTGGATATGTGAACAGAATGCAGCCTACTCCTGGTGGCTGGAGGGATCACTTCTATGGTTTATCTTACAAGGGTACAAGTGAATCTAAGAGTAGAATATAAATGTCTTAACACAATAACTAAGAAAATGACACAAAAGCTACGTTAACCAGTTTGATGAAAATATTTCAAATTGTATATGAAAACACCATACTGTACCCCATGATTGCATTAATGTACACAGCTATCATTTAATAAAAAATAAAAAGAAATTATTAGATTAGAACTGAAGGTCAAATAAAAACTAGTTTATATTTTAGTTATGTTATTAACTAACACCTACCTCTTAACCTGTTAAGTTCCCAGTAAAATGTGGAATTTTATACATATACATGTTATATAAACAAATAAGGTTCAAATTCTGGTTATACACCATTCTAGCTTTGTAATGTGAGCCATATCTGAGCCTTTTTCAGGTCTGTAAAACTTTGCAAATGGTGATCAACAGTGTTAGAGAAAGTTTGTAATGAGTCTGGCTCAGTGCCTGGAACTGATCAGGTACCTAATAGATCAGTAAAAAAAATAAATAAATAAGAAAGAAATGCACTAAAAGTACATTAAATAGAAGTGAATACATCAAATCATAGTAGCATTCTAGAGTTTGAAAGGACCAGAGAACTCGTTTAATACAGTGGTTTTAATTGTGCCCAGTGGACTTGAAGTTTGTTTTTATTTTTAAGGTTTGAAACTACTGATTTGGTTTATTGATTTTTCAAATTTTGGCAGTTATTCACAGGCAGCCACATAAAGGCTGAACTGTGGTGGTGATTGTTGAGTTAGGCTTCAGAAACTCACTTGCCAGCTTCTTTTTTTTTTTTTTTTTGATTGCACTGTTTTTTTTTTTTATTGAATGGTAACTGTGTACATTGATGCACTTTGGGGGTACAGTGTGGTGTTTTCATACATAATCCAAGACACTTCCATCAAACTGGTTAACATAGCCTTCATGTAACTTTCTTAGTTATTATGTCAAAACATTCATATTCTACTCATATAAAGATTCACTTGTACCCTTGCAAGATGAACCACAGAAGTGAACCCTCGATTCCCTCTTCCTACCCCCTCTCCCCCCTCCCTCCCCCCTCCCCATATCACTTGCCAGCTTCTTGAAGCAGCCTCTGAAACACCTCCCAAACACCGAGCTGTGAGCACACGGAGACAGACGTGTTACGTGCTGCCTTCAAGGTCACTGGAACCACATGTGTGGGAAGAATTGCAGTCTTCTGTCTCCTATTCGGTTGCTCTATTACCATCCTAGTAAAATCTTTGGATTTTTATCATATATTTAAAAGCTGAGCAATAGTTTCTCCTTATATAGGGGACCATAAAGTTCATGTGAAACTTAAAATAGTGTGCAATTCAAAACTGTACACCAACTTTATGGCCACCTTGTGTTGGTACATTTTGTGTTTTTTCACAATTTTTAATACAGTATGAATTAAAATATTGAAATTCTGGTTATTTCATCAAGATCTTCTGATTAAATCATCTATAAACTATAAAAGATACAAATCATTTTTTCAAA